AAAAAAAAAAAAAAAAGAAAATGGAAAATAATAACAGCATGCCAGACTTGCACCCATCCTGAAGAACAGATACAGCTATCATTTTTATCTCTATATAAAAACAATAAGAAAAACTCAGGTTTGTAACTCTCTTCCTTGTTTCAAGGAGACAAAGAAAAGCAAAGTTTCACTTGCAGGGACCTTGCCCCATCTGATGCTCTGGCAAAACAAGGGTTTAGACACTTTCCAGCAGGCACAACTTCACTAAGGGCTGCCTACATACGATTTGCAATTGCAGCCTGTAGTGGCAGGAGTTTGTTTCTTCCCCACGTGAATTTCTTTTCCTTCCACCCCAGAAACTTCTTGTTATACTATACACTGAAGAACATTATAGAGTATGAGTGTGACAGCCTCCTAAACACAACCCAGCTACAATATCAACAGGATTTTTTTTACTCCAGTAGTATTTAATACTATCATAGCCTGGGACTAAAGACACTTTCCAGGAACCCACTTGCCAAGTTACACAGCTCATATGTCACAGAAAGGTTGAGTTACAGAAAAGCAAAGAGAACCTTTGACAGAGAATTAAAATGGAGAGAAAGAACAATTTAAGAGACTGGGGACTTCTGGAATAAGAAGTACTGTGTGCTCTTCTGKTACACAAAAATATAAAGGGGAAGTACAATTGCAAGACCATTTTGTTAGGAATGGAGGGACACCTGGCTTTCAGCTCATGGCAACCTTTCTGGCCCAAAGCTCTACATACTCGTATTTTTCCACAGTACTCAGATTAGATACGCACATCACCCTTCACCATACACTAATTTTCAAGAGACTTAGTTACATTATAACTGGATGGTGATACGGGGGTGTGACACTGGTTTGTTGCAGGCCTGACCTCACTTGCATCATTTATCGGAGTACACCATCTCTCCTGTCTGTTCAAATGAGTTACAGCATCGTTTGGTAAGCACACACCAAGAACACCAATGTCACCACACTGCGTTCTGGTGATGAGGTTCTTAGAGAGCTCCACACAGACACGCGTGTGTCAAGGCATAAAGTCCTCTTCATGGGGAGGCCCCAAATTAGCGCTCTAGGATACAGACCCGCCACAAGAGCCAACAGCGCGATGTGCAAAGGCTCGCCCGGTGTTTTCCCACCTCCGGCGAGATCCAAGCAAGTAACTCCGAAAGCAGCACATGACAGCCATGAAGGCCAAGATCCAATTACATCCTCGAGCCCCGGGCCATGTCAGGCAGCTTCTCTGGCCCTGCCTTGCACAGTAATTAAGTAGCCCTTATACCCCAGTACAGCTTCCCCAGACCCTCCGGGATGGGGGATCACCCAGCCCCACTGGCCCCGAGCGCAGGCAGGCGGGGCTTAGCTGGGTGCCAGCACAAGGACAGCGGTGTCCCGAGTCCCCAGCGCGGGACACCGCGATGACCCTGCCTGAAGGGGCAGAGCCCCGGCTGGATGCGCCTGCTGGCGGCAGCGGAGCCGCCCTCAGCCCGGAGCCGGCAGGGCGGTGCGAGCAAACCCGGCAGCAGCACCCCCGGCTCCCCTTCCCCTGCCGAGCCGCTGGCCGTGCCACAGCCCCAGAAGGAGCTGCGTTAACGGGAGCGGCGCGGAGCCGGCGGGAGGCGCAGCCGCAGCGGCCGCGGGGAGCGCGGAGCCCCGGGACGGGCACAGCCGCCGGCTCCCCCCGGCACCGGTTCGGGCGGGAAGGGCGCCCGTGCGCGCATCTCCCCACCGTGCCCTGACCTTAGCCCGGCTTGGCAGGAGCCGCCCGAGCGCCGGAGCCCGCCGAGCAGCGCTGCCGTCACACCGCCCGCCCGGCTCTCCGCGCCGCCCCGCAGGGAACAGCGGCGGAGGGAGAGGAGGAGGAGGAGGAGGAGCAGGTCCGCGCCCGCTCACCTGCAGGGGGAAGGTGGCCGCCTTGTTGCCCACGTAGCCGCGGACGACGTGGCTCTGGATGGAGAGCACCCGGCACTCGCGCTCCAGCTCCATGGCTGCGCCGCCCGCGCGCCTGCCCGCGCCGGGCCGAGGTGGCGGCGCCGGGAGCAGGAGCGGGGGGCGGAGCGCGGCCGGCGTGACGCGCTCGCCGTGCCCGCCTGTCACACACCCCCCGCGGCAGGGAGGCAGGCGGGGAGGCGGGCACCGGCYGGCGCCGAATGGCCGCCCCGCTCCGCGTCCGCTGCGGGAGCCGTGTGCGGCCGGAGGGATCGGTGCCCAGGCAGCCGCGGGCAGCCCCGCCGCGA